GTTGGGCAAACAGAATAGCTACCCCCGCTTTTGGGGGGGGGGGCGGTTCCAGTTGCATGAAGTATTGTTTTCCATCCTTTGACTTTCAGTCTGTAAGTATCCTTTTGGGTTAGATGGGTTTGTTGTAGATAGCATATGATTGGATGTTGTTTCTTGACACATTCTGCCAGTCTGTTTCTTTTAATTGGTGCATTGAGACCATTTACATTAATGGTTATAACTGTTATATATTGGTTTATTGTTGACATGTTATCTTTCCACTGTTGTATCTTTATCTTTCCATTCTGTTTAATTGCCTGCTTAGTGTTTATTTCCTGTGTATCTAAACTGTCTTTCAGTATTTTTTGTAGGGCTGGCTTGGTGATCATGAAGTTCTTCAGCTGTTCTTTGTCATGGAAGTATCTTATTTCTCCATAGATTTTGAAGGACAGTTTTGCAGGGTATATCAGTCTAGGTTGGAAATAATTTTCGTTTAGGATCGAAATACTTTACTCCATGCTCTTCTTGACTTTATTGTTTGTGCTGAGAAGTCTGCTGTGATTCTGATAGGTTTTCCTCTATCGGTGATTTGTCTTTTCTCTCTGAGAGCTTTTAATATTCTATTCTTATGTTGGATTTCTAGATGGTGATTATTATATGTCTGCGTGTAGTTTTATTTTGGTTTTGGTTATTTGGAGTTCTATATGCTTCATGGATCCTGATGTCAGTTTCCATTCTCATGTTTGGGAAATTTTCAGCTATTACTTCTCTAAATATCCTTTTGACATCCTTTATGTTGTCTCCTTCTTTTTTTATTTATCCCCATCAATCTTATGTTGTTTTTCTTTGCATCATCTTGCAGCTGTTGAATTATTATTTCCTGATTCCTTGTGATTTTTAAAAGATCTTTCCTTTCCTGTTCACTAGCTGCAATCTTGTCTTCGAGGTCTGAAATTCTATCTTCACTTTCATTGAGGCGGTTTTTACAGCTTTCAATGGAATTTTTCATTTCCTGTATACCTCTTTGCATCTGTTTTATGTATTCTGTTTGTTTCTTATATTGTTCATCCAAGGATTCTATCTTTTTGTTTAGTTCCTCCAATTTTTTAACTGTGTCTTCTTTAGATATGTTCAGCATCTCTTTCATTTCTTTTATCATTTCTTCTTTTACCTGGGAGGTCATTTCTAGTTTGAATTCCTTTAAAGCTTCCCATGGTTGCCTCTTTATTTCAGTTGCTATTATTTCAGGTATTTCAGGTGTATGGCATATATTTTCTTCTGTGTATATAGCTCCTAAGCTTTCTTGGGATGGGCTGGAGGTTTGAGATTGTATTTTGGTCTTTTGTTTTGTCATTTCCTATATTTCTGTGTTTCAAGTATTATTCCAAGGCTTCCCCTGAGCCTGTTGGAAATCCTTTTCTATGCCCTCTGTTGCTGGGACTCTGGCTGCCCAGTTCCCTAGATTCAGAGAGGGTTACTGGGAGTGGGGCAGTCAGGCCCAAGCCTTGCGGGGTGGTTGAATGTGGCAGAAAGCTTTGAAGTTCCTTGGCTGGTGGGAGGAACGATCCCAAACTCCTGGAATCGGGATGGTGCAGAGACACTCACCTCAGGCCACCCAGTTTCCAGAATTGAGGACACAGGCAGACCCAAGATCCCTGGATCTGGCCAAACATGAGAGGAATCCAGGAAGTTGGTGCCGGCAGGCCCAAGACCTGCTGATCCAGTCCAGTGCAGCAGGAAGCCGTGAAGTTACCTGGTCAGTGGGAGCAAGGATCTTAAACTTCCAGGGCTCAGGATGGTGTGGGGACACTCACTCCCAGCAGCCCAGTCTCCAGAATTCACTGCTGGAGTTCTTAGAGCTCAGCTAAAGAAGATGCTCAAGTCTTTAGGCTGCAACAAGAGGCAGACAAAGGAAGAACAACTCTTCCTGATGTTCAGGAGTTATTGCAGCTCTTGGGGAGCCTGTGTTGAAGTCACTGTAATTTGTCTGGTTGAGTCACCTTGGTTCTTTGACTGAGGCATCTTATCCAGTAGGACTCTTCATTCTGCAAGTAAATCTAACACTCTCACCACTGTATCAGTTAGGGCTCAGCTCACTAGAGGAACAGACTTTATATATTACGTATATGACATATTAAAGACTTAGTAGGCAGTTTAAAATGGCTGCCTATGGAATCAGAGCAGAAGAATGTAAAATGGTCACCAGTACCCAGGGGAGCCTGAAGATCTGGTGGAAGGTGAAAGCCTAAAGCTCACTGCAGAATTAGGTGTGAGTCCTTGTTGGAAAGCAGAAGGATCTGAAGGAACTGGAAGGAAAATCCAAAGGCAATGGTGATCTGAGATCCTCTGAAGAAGCAAAGGAAAGACTTCCTTCTTCTTTCTCTTTTTACTCCATCCAGGCTGCAAGCCTATTGGTTGGTGCTACCCACATCTGGCCGAATCTTCCCTCCTCAGTAGGTGGCCTACATGTCAATCATCCACAGACTTTATTAATTTGTTGGGTGATTCTTACTCAAATCAAGTTTATTGATTTGTTGAGTAATTTTTACTCAAATTGCATTGATGTACCATGATTAGCTGACACAACCAGACTCCTGCTTCCCCTTCAGGGCCCAACCAGACATGACCTTCTCCTTCTCTGGAGAGTCTGCCCTCTGCATGCTACCATCAGGGCAAAAAACCCCTTATGTTGTAAATATTGTTTTATGTCCCTTCTGTAGTAGGCTGAGCTCTACAAGAGTCAAGATTGTCACCTTATCTAGTCCACTGCAAGAGACTGCATGACAGGGTCCTCACTAAACTATGAACTCATAAATGTACAGTGGTACAAAGTGACATAGTGGGGCCACCGAGGCAAAGCTCAGGGAACCCAGGCAGAGCTCCACGAGCATCCATTGGCTCCTAGCCATACCTGTGCTTCTTCTTTGTTCTACATACCATCCAGTGTCTTCAGTTCTGGGCTCCTGTCCACTTTCAGGCTCCATCTTCCACTAAATCATGATTTCCAAGTAGGAAAAGGGCAATGTCTGTCCTGTCTTCCTAGTTGCCCTAGATTTGTTAAATGACTGAATTAGTCACTGAACCCTCTTTGTTGTGTTCATTACTATGTAAGAATTTTTATGTCTTCACCACAGTACTCAGTGCCGATCACAGAGTGCTGGATGTGAAATCCAGAAATATTGTTATTCTTTGTTCAGAATTATTTTAACCTGCTTTAGTTTGTTAAATCTAAACATAAATGAAGATATGGATAACTGCATGTATGTTTAAGTGTATAGGATTGAGAACCATGTTATTAAGTTTTTGTTGGACAGTTGAACAGAACTGTTTGCAGTCTTGCTGTTTGAATTTCCACTTTACATGTTCCATTTTTGTATCTTGAACAACTATGAAACGACGATATGTAAGCATAAACTAGTGATTTCCTACTGTTTATCTTTTCTCTGAACATATGTATTATTTCTACCTATTTTCTGTTTTTTTTTTTAAGTCTTTATTTAAATAAAACTTTAAAAAAAAAGAATTTTTATGTCTTCACTTTTGGTATTTATATCCTCCACTGTCTCCCTTCTCCTCCTACACCATCAACTCAGGGCTGCTGCTCTCTGTTCTGAAGAGAATGTTGCATTTCCTTCCCCTGTCCCAGTTTTCATCCTGCCTGGACTGTTAAACACTGTCTTCCCTAGGTTTTACTGTGCTTTTAATAAAGGATCAGACTCCGGGTGCAAAATCGCAATTCTAAATTGTTTAAATTTCTCTCATCTCAACTCATCGCTGCTTGCTTACACCTTGGCATTGGCCACCAACTCGCCCTGTTTTCCACTGATATACTGACCCATTTCCATGGTGAAAGCTCCATAGCTCTTCAGAGGACATCTCTGGCTCAACTGTCCTGACTGCCCTGTCTCATGAGAACATTTTGTCATCACAGTGACAAATGCTCTGTAACTTATCTTCCTATTTTTGTGCTTCTTTTTCTGTCAGGTGACCAGATCCTGTAATCCTGTCCCCTTTGTGTTTACACTGCAGTTTTGACTGGTGCCCACCACAGGACCTTTTCTGCGTGGGAGTGGGGCAGTGAGTGTCATGTGAGCCCACTCTGTGCCAGCTGCTATAGAAATCCAAGGTTCAGCCCCTCCAAACCTGGCTTCATTCCCGAGAAAATGAAGAACTAACTGAATCCTGAAGATACACATGTAAGACAGCTCAATTATAGGACGAGCATGCTAGGTCATTCCATAGCAATTAGCCACCACCACGAAACAAAAGCATCACACGAAATCCACAATGATAGCAGAAACTCACATTTTTTACAAAGAAAATATCTGTATCTGATATCCTGTTTTCCCTGCTTTATTTCATTTTCAAATATGAGTTATGTTTCTATGACAGAAACATTGAAAGATGACATTGTATATGAATTTAGAAACCATTTAGAGCTGGCTAAAAATGTTTTCTATTTGAAGCAAATCATGATGCTAAATTATTAAATACAAAGTATTTTGGGGGGATTTAAAAAATTTTTATTTTAGAGTGGATAAGACCAAGCAAAAGCAAACAGAATGAAGCCAATCAAAACAAGACAGTGTAAGTGATGCAGAATTTCAAAACAAGATAATAAGAAATTAACAGTGGTTATCATAATGCCTCTTGTTGTCTCCAAAATAGCTGTCCATACCTTCATACATAGTAAAATCAAACAAAACAGAACAGAATCAATAAAAACAAAAGAATGAATTCAATATAGGACTTCAAAATAATATCATAGTAATTCTGAAATGGCTACCATAATATATCTTATCTTTGAAATAGCTACCTATGCCATCAGAAACAAAATCAAACAAGATAAAACAGAGTGAAACCCAACCAAACAAAATAATGTGAATGATACAGGAGTTCGAAACAAGATGAAAGGGAATTAACAATAGTTACCATCTTCAGAAGGAGATCCCCATGGATGCTACAGTGCATATTGTTATCATCTGAATAGATGATCAGACTACCAGCTTTCGGCCTGCAAAGACAGTGAAACATCAAACACTACAAGCATTAAGTTTATTTTACCTCATTAGTATCGTCATAGCCTGTGTTTCTCCAGATCAGCTTGTCACTTATGGGGTGGGGCAAACGTTGGCTCTTCCTGTCTCTCTGCCCGCTCACTGGAAGGTATTGGTGGCTGGCTCTCTCCCAGTCAACCCGCACATGGTGCCGACTCACAGGAGGTTTTGGCTTCTTGTTCTCATCCCACACTTTTTTTGTAGTTATTTCTGACTTGATATATCTTGTTTTCAAAAGTCAGAACAATTCTAGGAAATAAAAAATGGAAAGCCCTCAGTTTTATCAGACATTACCTACATGTACGCATATTTGGTTTCCTGAGGTCCTATCTCCTTTCCTTTTTCTTTCTCGTCACTCATTCTCTTGCCTCTCTTTTCCTTCCTCTGTCTTCTGTCTCTCTGTCTCTGTCTTTCTTTCTCTTTACTTGGCTGAACTACTGAGACACACATATACAGGGGATAGTATGCTGTTCATATATATAGTATAAAATAATTATAAAAACAACCTCATATGACACCTACTGAAGCACCTGTATGTAAATTATAGAAACCTATAAATCTTAAAGCACCTCTTAGTCTTTGTTAGTATTTTGCGTTTTCTAGCTTGAGGCATAGTTGGCAGATAAAAATCATATATTTAAGGCACACACCTCAACAATTTGCTATATGTGTGCTTTGTGAAACATCCACCATGCTCCAGCTAATTAACATTTCTGTCACTTTACACAGGTACGCCTTTTCTCAGGGAGAACACTGGGGAGCCCAGCAGGCTTCCACTACATAGCCTGTTGTTGAAAACTACTGTTATTGTCACACACCAAATCCCAGAACTTATTCAGCTGCAAGGCTCTGGCCAGAAATGATGACTTCTGCTTGTTTCCTTGTCATTCCAGAACAACAGCAGGTGCTTCCCTCTTACCTGGGGAGATGGTGTGTGATTTTTGGACAAGGTTGGCTGAGGACAAACGTGACACACACCTGGTCCACACCTTTGAGTGTGTTTCACATCAATGATGTTCTTAGTGGCTTCTTTTTAGCCTCAGTGATCACTGAAGGCCACCGGGCCAACTGGTTGGATTTTTGAACTATTTTTAATTGATTGCAGCCATATCTGGCTTTTTAAACTTGAATTTAACTTTAGAAAGAAGCTTCCATGAGAGAGGAAGGTCTTTTCTGTGCACTTCTAGGTCGTAATCCTAACTCTAAGACCCTTGTTCACTCTGTGCATTGTTCTCTTTTGGGCATTGATGGGTGATTTGTTATCAATCTACATCAGGCTCTAGGAACACAGGGCAATTCATTCACACTTCAGTTTGGGACTCAGAGAAACACTGGAGCAGGCTTTTTCTACACTTCGAATCTGATTTTCATTTAGTCACCAAGGTGAGTGGAAGGCAATGTGTTTGGTGCTGCTCACACACCTGCCATCCAGATTCTCTGGGTGGGACCACATGAAACCCTCCACCCGCAGAGCCAGCAAGTCCTCAGGTCATCATTGTCCTAATTTAGGTTGCAAAGAATCACACTTCAGAGGAGCACGCTTGTCTGGGGCTGGGGTTTGGATTTTTGCAGGATTTGATGGCTGAAAGGAAGGGGGTGGGGCAGTGGAAGATGAGGGATGTCAGCAGCACGATCCTTGTCAAAGGCTAAAATCAGTTCATGAGAATCCTGTTCTAATTCTCCTGCTCTTCCCTTTTCAGGGATGGTCTTTGGTTTAAGAATTTACATGGGCATCCTATATAGAATTAATCTTGTTCACATGCTGTAGAATGAATGCATTGATGAGAGAAGTTACTCTGCAGTTCACTGTCAGGGTTTTCTTTGAAGTCACAAATGTTACTATCATATAGGCTGCTATGACAAAACAGCCCAGAATGGGAATTCACTACCTCTCAGGAATGCATTTCTCCGGTACTCAGAGGCTGGAATTCTGGGATCAAGGAGACAGGTCTCACTAGATTGCTACATTCCTTTAACCCTGAGCTATAACTCATGATCCACCCATCTCAGTCTCTGAGAGTGCTGGGGTTACAGGTGTGTGCCACATGCCTGGCTTAGCCTTTTTGACTCTGTCCTCCCTGTCCCCTTCCTTGTATTTCCCATCCTTCCTCCCTCCAGCCCTGCCTTCTTCTTTTCCTTCCTTTCCCCTCTCCCTCTTACTTGGTTTTTCCTGGTTGGGATTCAAGCCCAGGGCCTTGCATGTGCGAGGCAAGGTTCTGCCTCTGACCTGGACCACCACAAGCTTCCTCCCATGTAATTTCTTCCACCCTTGACTCCCTCTTTCCTCTCCTTCCCTCACTCTCTCTGCTTTGGCTCTGGGGGCATCAAAGTTCCATCCTGAAATCACCTGGACATGTCCTCTCCCTCTCTTCTTCCCTTCCTGTGACCATCACGACGAGGGAATAACAGGAGGCATTGCCCACCTGCCCGCTGAGGCTTCCTGAGTTACTCTCTTTAGATTCCTAAATGTCACCTTGCTGAATGGTGCTCTTACCTAATCCTTGTCACCTACCAGTTGAGGGTTCTTTTGCTCACGCAGTCATGAGTAGAGGCTCTGGGCTCTGAGGACCAAGATCTCTTTCTCAGCTGCTGCTCTCCAGTGCTCTTCAGGGCAAAGGGCTCCTGGTATTCATAGATCTTCTCTAAAGCAACTGTGGTCTCCACCCTGCTTGAGATAAGAATCCCAAGCAGAATTATAAGCAGCTACACAGGTACACCCAAGGGAGGCTCTATTTGAACAAATCCCAATGCACACACCAGGCGCCTCAGTGGACAAGTTGGAGCCTGCTAGAGGAACTCATAAACTGGGAGCAAGTGTGGTACTTATATAGCTGCCACTCTCCCGTGACTGGTCCAAATTCAAACCTGCTGATTGGTTCAAATTGGTCTAACCACTAGCCTTCTGGTCAGAGCCTGCACAGGTCCAAATTCAATTCTGCTTGGTTCAAATTCTAGTTGGCTGTGGTAGGGAGCTTATGTGAGGGTCCAGGACAGCTGCAGTGTCCTCACGCAAATGCTAGCTGTGTTCCTCATGGCTTACTGGGGTTCAAGGAGGTCAGGGATACTAACAGCCTGGATCCCTGCCCGATCTCTGCCACATTAGGAACACTATCCCCAAAGCTGCATCAGAGAGGTGACAGAGTCTGGGTGGCAGGAATCTGGAAGGGGCATCTCTTGTCAGAGTGTCCGGGAAAGTGGCCATGAAGTAACATCAGAGCGGATACAGAGACAGGGACTCAGGGAAGGAGGAAGAAGAGTGAGTCGGGTGTCAGCCAAACCACACTCCTATCCTGTCTCAGGAGAGAAGGAGAATCTGGGGTTCTTTCATCTCCCTTTTAGTAATCTGTGTGGCACCTCCATGAGGTCCTTGACTTCCTTTCCTCCTCCCTTCTCTGCCTTTTGTCCTCCCCTTCCTGAGAGGAGGCTGGTGACTGTGTGAGGGACACAGCTCCACAGCCCTCTGCTCTGAAGACATTGCTCTGTTCTCTTTGGTTTATGTGCTATGGATTTGAATACTTCTGGGGATCAGCACCTCTCTTATGTGCTTTCAGAGGCTTCTGGGAAATTCCCTGTACTCCTGATGCTGGATGATCTCCCTGTATCTGGTCACTCATGCTAGTGTGCACATTGAGTGCCCTCCTGAGCCCAGCACCAGTGGACAGCAAGGCGGAAGGATGGACAGCAGGAGAGTCCAACCACCCCACACCCAGCATCCTCTGCCAGGCACTCAAGGGTCTGGCCCCTGGAGGAAGTGGGCACCTCTTACCCACATTTGCTTGCTCATGGGTGCAGCTGTTCTGGGAAGACCGAACCCAGTGTGTGTATGTGTGTGGGACTCCCAGCTGCTCAGGTGTGGCCCCAAACCCAGCAGGTGGGGTGGGGTCCTTCCTGGCAGGCACTGGGCCCTGCCTCCTGATGTCTGTTGACAGAATCTGTCTTTGCTGCTGAGTGTGACTGCTGTACAACCTGCTGCTCCCTTTCCTCTGTGCCGGGAATCTTTCAGCTATCGAAACTTCTGCATTGGATTTCTCTGTTTTTGTTTGCTTGCTGCTGTAGTTTCTATTTCTTTGCCCCTTTGTGCTGATTTTTGGAGAAACTCTCTTTGATCTTTCAGTTTCTAATTTGCTTTTGGTTTTGTCATTTTCTCTCTCTCTCTCTCTCTCTCTCTCTCTCTCTCTCTCTCTCTCTGTTTCTTTTTTTCTGCCATCTTTTGGCCCATCCATTGAAGTTTTTAAAAAGTACTTCTTTAGTTTGCAGAAATGCTTGGCTTTCTTTTGACAGCAGTCTTCTCTCTCAAGTTCCTTTGAAGATACTAATCTTAATTCAGATTTCAAACGTGTTTTTCTTTCGGTGGATGCAATCACCATGTTAGTTTGTGGCAAATGTGTGGGAACCTGAGTGTGTCTCCTCCAGAATGAAGGTCGCCCAGGCCCTGTCCCTTATGGGCTGCGAAGGTCTCAGGCCAGGGACTGCTTAAGCACCCTGGCTGTCTGCAGGTGATTGTGCCTCGCTCCTTCCTGATGCGGGGATGTTCAGTTCCTGCCCTTCTGAAGTCCTGGCAAGGGCTCCCTATAGTAGCAGTCCAATTTCTGAGGGAGGAAGGGCAGGCTGGGAAACCTTGTTGTCTTCTGCATGTGTGCTTAAGTTCATGCTTTCTTGTTCCTAACAGCTGGATTTCACTGCCACAGTTCCCTTCTCCCGTGCACCATTTGTTCATTGAAATCCCTCAGCCCCGAGCACCTCCAGCTGTAGCCTCCCATCCACTCACACCCTCCGAGTCCCTCTTACTGTCTGCTCTAAGATGCTGCCATGTCCTGTGGGCTGGCACTGATAAAATTTGTTCTCTTGGATGTGTTTTCTGGCTTGTGGAGGGAACCCAGGCGAGGAAGGCAACAGGAGCCCAGCATGCATTGCACAAATCTGATCAAATCCTGTCTCTCCCAGGCAGATCTGTCTTCTGCTGCTTCTTATTATTAACAGAAAACCAGGCACCTTTTCCCTAAAATCAACGCCCACGTACACACGCACATTTACACGCATGTGCATGCATCTGGACACATGTGCACAAGGCACACACACACACAGATACACACATGCACATCCACACAGCACATGTCTGTACATAAACAAATGCAGACGCACACTGGGGCGAGCCTCTCTCCTAGTCCCCATCCTGACTCTTCTTTCCTTCATGTGTACCTCCACGGCCCTTTGAAACGCCCTTTCCCTTCAGCCCAGCTGCCAGTGGACGGCCCTCAGACCATGGAGGTGGGAGTTCCCTCTTGGCATGACCAGACCCATTTGCGTCTGCTCTCCTCTCGGCCCTTTATCTTTCAGTCAGATTTGGAGAAAAGAAAAGAAATCAAGAAACAGGCAACGTTCCTGCTGAACTTTGAAACTCGAGAAGCTGAGTGCCATCCGTCCCTCACATCATCTAGTGAGGGAGTTGGATGTCCAGTCCAGCAGCTCATGCTGGGGTGGATGCTCCTTGCCTTGCAACTGCCTGGGGGCCTCTATCATAGGGGTGACCTTTCCCCCCCTTCAGATCCCTGAGACTCGTGCTGAGTCATTGCAATCACCACTTATCTAATAGGCACCAGGTGAAGTCACTGGTTGCTAAACACAGCGCGGGCTGGCGCGTGTTACTTTCTGGGTAGGCGCCCGAGCAAGTGGGGTTCTGTTTGTGTTTTGCATGCCACGCCTCTGCAGAGAGTCAAGATAACGCTGGGCACGTTCTAAATTAAGGGATTTATATTTACATGTCCTGGGGGAGGGGGAGAATTCAGATTGCTGTGCTTAAAATTTCTGCTTTACAAAGCCTTTCTTGAGTACCTGCCAGCTCTTTGCCAGTGTCTGGGGGTGAAGGCCAGGAGAGGGAGTGTTTGCCTGAATCTGGCTTTGGGCCCTTGCAGGAGTTCATGGTCAAGTTCTGGTCACACAGACAGATTATCAAGGAGGAATACAATAGTTAAAATGAGTAATCTGGGCACAATTAGGATAAAAGAGACTTTGGCACCCCGCGCTTCTGTGTAAGCAAACCAAAGTCCAGTTCCACGTTAACAGTGTGAAGTGCTATTGTAGAATATGCTGAATGACTAAATTTTAAAAGTGTATTGCAGTAAAAGACACATTGCCATTAATCCTCCCTAGATGCCTCTCACTTGCTTTGCAGACACTTATCTTACAATTCTTCCCACTTTCTGAAGCAGTTCTGGAGGTTCTCTTTCTGAGAGTCTTTACCAAGTGTGATTAAAAAATATAGTGAATGTTGCTGCCACGTGCCATCCAACAGAAAGGCAGGCTGTCAAAATGTGACCCCGTGTCCCCTTTCACCTTATTCGTCATATCTGACACCCTGTAACTCCTGACTTTTCCTCAAAGTCAACATGACCTTATCTTTGCTACTTTTCTCATTGCTGAGACAAAATATCCAACACCCAGAAGTAAAGGAGAAAGTGTTTATTTAGCTCACAGTGTGTGGAGGTTTCAGTCCATAACTGTCTGGTTCCAAGGCCGGGTGCCATGGCAGAGGGGCGTCGCAGAGGAGAAACAATCACACTCAGAAAAGATGACTTTCAGACCTGCTGCAGAAAATGGCCAGAATGATGGGACAAGTGTGTTCCAAGCAAGGAGGAAGATCTTGAGGGGTTTGAGAAGAAATGTATCTCTCTGTAATAATAGTTTTTACACTTATATATTTGCTTTATATTTTGATCATATCACACAGAAGGAAATTTAAGACTAACCAATCAGAAAGCACCAACTAAGTGCTAGAAGCTTTTCACTTTAGTTCATCAGTTATTTTCTTGGTCTTGTTCCCTAAAACACCTAATAAAAGCTTCTCCATGTGCCCTTAATGGAACGCTGAACAAGCTACCTGTCCAGATTCATGGATCTTTTATTTTTATTTAAAGAAAGACAAAACAAAATAGAAAACTAGCAGAAAAAGTACATACTTTCAAAGAAAAGAAATAAACAGTAATAAATCACTAGTTGATGTATACATATTCTCCCCCCATAAATAGTTGTTCAAGATACACAAATGGAACATATAAATGGGAATTCAACCAGAGAGACTGCAAACAGTTCTCTTCAACTATCCAACAAAAACTAAGTGTTATGGCTATCAATCCTATACACTTAGACATGTACGCATTTATCCTTATCTTCATTTATGTTGAGACCTAACACAACTTATTAGATTCAAAGCCTTCTGAACAAAGATTAATAATATTGCTGATTTAAAAAATTTTTCCCCTTAATTAAAAAAACCATAAAAAATAACTAAATAATTTTTTTAATGAATAAGGGAGAGATTGAGATAAAAGAGGACATAACAACATAACAATACAGGTCAAAGCACCCTAGTACTTCACCACCAAATAACCCAACTTAATAGTAGTTACCATAGAGTCTGTCTTTGATACTGTGACTTGAGCAACTATCTCTAGGATGATAATGTGTAATCTATTAACTGGTGATTTCTTACTGGTTTTTTTTTTTTGTAGTTCTATATTTTTGTACCCTTACACCACTTTGTTTTGTTTTGTTTTTTCTCTTTTTCCTTTTAAATAAAATAAAAAATAATAATATTGCTGGATTTCACATCATAACATTCTGGAATCAGCATTGGGTACTGCAGTGCCCCTTTCTTTCCTTCAAAGT